AGTTAACAGAGAAAGCAGGCACCATGCCATGTCGGAGCTGTTGAAAAGGTAAGAAGTTTGTGCTATTCAGAGGAAAAAAAAAAAAAATCAATGGAGCGAGATCATCTGACTTACACATAAAAAAAATGCTTCTGTATGGGGAATGGTTAAAATCTGTGGGGAGATAAGAATAGAAGTGGGGAGATGAGTTGGGGAGCTGCGGCAGTAACAGCTGATGTAGCTGAGAATAGGGTGGTACTGGTGCAAATAATGAGGTTAGATTTACAACATCCTTTCAATTCCCTGGCAAGTTCTGTCAACTCTACCTTCAAAATCAGTCATTTGATTATATTTTGAGAGGACCTGTTGATCAATGAGATGTGGAGTAAAAAGGGGAAGATGGCCAACTTACAACTTTTGGCTCAACCTTACAGGTGAAATGGTGGTGGCCACCTATGGAATCTCAAACAGGAGTAAAATTCTTTTCTGTGTCCAGTCCCCAGTGACGGGATCAGCCACCCACTTAGAAAGGAGATTTACCCAAGGCACTCTCTGTCCTCATCCCATAAACTCTTTTGCTTCAAAATGTTTCTGATCTGTCCCCACTATTCCTTCCCCACATATGTGGGCAGATCTTTAGATCAAACTCCCTACCAGTACTGTGAACCTGGTCCTCATCGTCTTTAGGTTTAAACTCAAACCTAGGAATAATATGACAAATTAGTCCTCTGCTAAAAATTACTGAATGATCTTCCTCAAGAGCTATTTGGCAGTAGCTATTGATCCTTAAGTGGGATATATGGTTCCCATGTATGTGGACCCCAGAAGTTCACATGCTAGAAGACACCTACCTATGTAGTGGTATTGAGGGGGTAGGTGGCTAGACCACTGGGGTACCACTCTCAGAGGGGTTCAGTGTTTCTCACTCAGAGTGAGTTCTTAAAAAAGTAGGCCAAGCATGTTTACCCCATGTCTCTGTACAGAACCAGGTCTTTCCAGTTCTTTGCCATGCTGTAGTATGGGCAAGTAGGCCCTCACCTGAGGTCAGATGAGGCTGCCTGACCTTGAACTTTAAGCTTCAAACACTGTATAGTAAGTAAACCTCTACTCTTTGTAAAGTATCACCTCTAGTATCCTGGTAAAGCATCACAATAGTCTAATATATCCTTTTGCCTATTTCTTTTGTAATTCTTAGAAATAAAAAAAAAAGAATGGAAATATAAGGGTATAGTAATCCATCAATATGGAAAATGTTATATAAAACTTATAAAGTTTTAGATAGTCCTTATTTTTACAAAAGCAAATGACAATATGTCATTTATATAGATTCCATCTATGTATTGAGGTGGTGTATACAAGCCTCAAGATGTTTGGGATGAAACACATTAAAGTACCAACAACTGAAGAAGAGTGTGTGGGGTGGGGGTGAGGGTAAGAGGAGTTAAGAAAATACAGTAAAATGGGTAAATTTGCCTGGGCACCCCCAGTAGCTCACACTTACAATCCTAGCTACTCAGGAGGCTGAGATTTGAGGATCAAGGCTCAAAGCCAATCTGGGCAGAAAGTTTGTTAATCTCTAATTAATTATCTCTAATAATGCCTGAAGTGGAGCTGTGGCTAAACTTGTACAGTACTACTCTGTAGCCAAAAAGCTCAAGGACAGCATCCAGGCATTGAGTTCAAGCTTCAGTACCAACACAAAGAAAATAGAGGGGAGGGAGGTAGGAATTTGATCAAAATCATGTATGAAACTATTACAATGAAAATCATTTGCATAATTAATTTACACTAACAGCAAAATATTGTTTTTGCTGTCTTTTGATGAGTTCAGAGAAAAAAAAAGGAATTAACTCTAAATAAAAATACTGTATGCAGTAGGATAAATAAGCCTAGAAATCTAAGTATACTATGGGAATTACAGTTAATAATATATACTGAAAATGTTAGGAAAATAAACCAACTGCTTTGCCACATAGGTAGCAATGCAATATGACAGATATGAGTTGATTTCATGTCACAATGTATACGTATACCAAAGCATGATGCGCACCTTAAATGTGTAATAAAAACTGCATGCAAATTGGTGAAAAAACTCAATGGTTCTTTCAGAGTAATGAAATGGAAGTGGATTGAGGGTTCTTGATCTATCTATCTATCTATCTATCTATCTATCTATCTATCTATCTATCTATCTATCTATCTACATAATGTGTGTATGTATATACACACATGCATACATATACATAGTTCATATATATGTGTATATATATATACATATTGAGTGACTGTAAAAATGCTATATTTATGACACAATAAAACTGGACAACTACTTTGTATGTCCTAACAGTTATCAACCTGGTACTAACCCTCTTCCAGACTCATTTTGTGGAACTTTTATGTTAGGTAGGTGATAATGGACTCCTGTAGGATGGGAATCTTGGATTGACTGTTGAAACTGGGTCATGCTTTAGGCCTGCCTGCTTTGCACTGGCACAGGAAAAGCTGCCTCTTTCTCTGGCACTCAGAAAGACATAAACCTCTTTCTTAAGAGAAACCAGTATGCTTCTCTTGCCCTGAAGGGCAGGCCAGAATTAGTTCATTCCTTTAGCTCTCAAAAGATTTTATAACTTTCTCCTTCTCCCAATCCATTTTGGCTTTACAGCTTTTAAGAGTATCAGTACTTGTTCCGTTTGTTTCTTTTATAGCAGAAAAAGTGAACAAAATATGACAGTAAGTTTATTATAGTGCCAGCTTCTTTCTAATAATCATTTGAGACTTTTTAATAATAAGAAGTGAGAATTTAGATAGTAAGAAGTGATTATAATCCTTCTGCTCTTAAAATATTATCCATGTACAGTGAAAGCAGGGGTTATAATTTGTGGAGGGGAAGGGAAAAAAAATCGTTTAAATAGGGATACAGGTGGACCCATTGCAACAATGAGACGTACAAGTCGTATGTAGAAAATGAACTTTACAAATTTGGTGGGGGCGGGGGGGAGAGTTGGGGGGGTAGGGGAGAGGATGGGATGGGAAGGGAAAACAAAGGAGGAGGCTACAATGCTTGATAAGAAATGTACTCATTATCTTGCCCATGTAATTGTAACCCCTCTGTATAATATTTTCACAATAAGAAAAAAAATAAGAAAAAATATGTGAAGTAGCTTTAATGGAAGCAAACTGCTAAGCAAATAGAATATGGAATATCAATTTCTAAATTGTAAATATTTTCTTATTTGCCTGTTGTGTGTGTGTGTGTGTGTGTGTGTTGCTCCCCAGCACCTGCAGCTTGGCAGTGCTCTGCCACAGAACTACAACCTCATTCTTCAAATCTGGCTTTTGGTGTTGCTTAGTGCCTTCTTTTTAACCCTGGGAATAAGAGACCAAGAAAGTACACATGTACTTCTATGTGGTCTTGGCTGGAAATCTAGTCATAGAGTCAATGAGTTTTGTGGCCATTCAGTGTCCAGTACAACAGAGTCATGATATATTCAACTATACCTCCCCTCAGTCATTCACAGTACTTTGCAAAATGGAAAAAGAAATCTGAATTGCAGAAATTTATGCTGCAGTTTACTACCTCTTTAATTCTAAACCTGCCACCTACACTAGTACAATTAGAATATTCTTCTCCTAGCTTGAATTGCTATAGCATATTAGATGGCTTTTTCTGTGTTCCTTTCAGAATGTGTGTGTGTATGAGAGAGAGAGAGAGAGAGAGAGAGAGAGAGCACATGTACATGTGTATGATGAGGAGGGGATTGTTATTTGGCTTCATATTAAAATACATTATCTACCACTTCTCTATTAAGTAGGGCTGGAAATAATCTTTGGTGATCTTAACACACTGTTCATAATTGACAGCTGAACTGACCAGGAAATGTTTTTTAAGATGTCTGCCTCCCATGTAATGGTGTCTAGATATCTAGTGCTGGAGCTAACAGTTTCCTGATGCAAATTGAGTAGTCTCTTTTAAACTTAATAGTCTAGATGTTCTGAAAAAAAAAAAAAAAAAACGGCTCTGAAATAAGCAGAGGCTTCAACTTCAAAGGTAGAATTGAAAGTAGTCTCATCAGACACAAGCCTAGGTCATCTGCGGCCACAGTGGTTCATTCAACACAGTAGTGCAGTAGGAAAAAAAATAGTCCCTTTAACGCCAGTAATAAAGTTGAAAAACCATATTTAAAATATTGAAAAAACAGTATTTCTCAGGTATAAGAGATATATACAGGAAGTTCATTCTTAAGGCAATTCATTGCCAGAAAGTTTAGATCACACATAATTGCACCTATTCAATGAAAAACTATGACTAATAAGAGAAAAAAGTCTTTGACTTTCATTAATGGAAAGAGTATACATTTTAATTATGCTCCAAGATGTTACAGACCTGGAAATTAAGAAATTTCAATCAGTATAAAATAGATTTATTGTCAATATGCAGTCATTAATATAACCCATGGAGATGAAACATCACTGTGTACAAGGCTCAGATGCTCTAAAATGTTATCTTACCTCCATGTATGTTCTAACAAATGATAAAATATGTAAAATTATAATGCAAAGAAAAATACTACAAGAAAAATTGTTGCAGATCTTTATATGAAAATCCTTTATTTCAAAGCTCTGTCCACTAGGAATAATACCATACTACGGATCAGAACCCAAGTAAACTACTTTTTTTTTTTTTTTGAGGTTACAATGCTCAACAACATACTGGATGAACTAAAACATATGGCAAGAATCAAGATCCAAAGCCTTCAATGATGTTAAAGAAGAAAATGTTAAAAAAGAAATGAGAATGGAACAATTCATTGTTCTAGGTTGATTTCTGCTGGAATGGTCTCCATTTATAGCACTCACAAGAGGTCTATAGAAGGGTAAAAATGGGACCAATCTCAGCTTTACTGAAAGGATTTTCAAATCAGAACAAACCCAAGCTGTTATAAGACACTGTTGCTAGTGATTTCTACTCTTTAGCCCTTGGCCCTTTTTTGGTGCTTTTTTCCTAATTTCTTCCTAAACCATACCAAGCATATTTTTGCTTTCTAGCATTCAAAATAACAGAATTGACCTATCTCATCAGTTGTAAAGACACTAATTCTGGTTTAGACATCCTAAGATTCGGACATGTCTATCCTGTGTATACAAGTCACTTCCCCTTACACATTGAGCCTAACCTTAATTTGGGGGAAAAGATTAAATATTAGGAATTACTTTCCTTAATCAGAGGTTTGCCTATTGGCAAGATACTTTGGTTGGTAGCAATATAAGAAATTGTTGACAGGTTTGGTCAGAACAGATAAAAAAGATGGCACTACTGAATTACTGTAACTCATTGTGGTAGGTTTCTGTAGTTAGGAAGAAATGACCTATGGATGTGCCCAAGTATTTCAGAGGGAGAAAAATGTATCTTAAAAAGTTAAAATAAAAACATTAGAAAAGGAAACACAAGAAAATACAGCAAAATAATAATACTGTAGTGATGGCAGGAAAGAGAATTCTTACAGCCAACTACCTTGGTAAGAAATATCTAGCATGAAAAAAATCACTTTCCCATTTTCTTTTGTGCTACATTAACAAGTATTCTTCACATGAAGAGGAAGAGGAAACCACTTACACTTTTCTTCAAGGGTGGGGGTGTCTTTTGGAAATGAGCATTACAGACAGGAAGGAAAGGTAGGGAAAGCTCACTCAAAGAGGTCCTCAAACATGCGCTGTCCCATTGCTATGTATGCTTCTTTCTCTTCTGGTGTCATCTGGGTCACAAGCTCTGGCCGCTGGCTCACTTCACTATAGGAGAAAGGACGGCCAGCCACTGTGACAGTTGGGTCATCTGTTACTTCCTCAAACTCATCATCCTCGTCTTCATCTTCTTCCCGACGGGCAGTCACAGCAGCAGGTCGGGGTGGAGAGTCATCATCTGACTCGCTGGTCTCGCTCTCTGAGTCACTGCCATTGGCGGCAGTCACAGGAGCCGCTGTCCCCACTGAGCCAGCTGTCACGGAGGTAGTCTTCTTCTCATGAATGAGGAGTGCTCGCATCACTTCCTCGTTGTCATCAGGCCCAGCCCGGCCATCCTCTCGCTCCTGGAATGTGTCCATATTTATGCCACCTGAGGGTTCAAACCCAGAAAATCAAGATCCTTACACAGAAAGAACATTCCTTTATGGCTAATCAAATATATACTTGAACACATATTATATAGATGATAATATAATAAAAAAAAACACAGACTCCATTGCTTCCATTTCTGGAGCTGCTGTCCCATCAAATATTAAAAATATTTCTTATAAACTGAACCTAATTGCAGCCCATGGGTTTTGCAGGTAAAATAGTATGGATCTGAGTCTTGGTTCTTCTCCAGTTGAGCTGTCTATCTTGAGGAAGTTACTTACTCTCTAAATGTCAGTAACTTTTCTGTAAAATGAGGTGATAAAAGGATGTACCTCCTAAGGCTCTGAATAAGGACAGATGAAATAATGTCTATGAGGGGCCAGGCATAGCAGATAGCAAAGCATGGCTCCTGATCTTGTTTAGTAAAAGCCAAAGGCCTTTCAATGGCCTATAAGGTCCAATGTAATTTGCAGCCTCTCCTGGCCACCTGTCTCTCACAGCTATTTCTCCTTCTCCTTACTCTGCTCTAGCTGCAGTGGCCTCCATGGTATTCTTTGTATGTACCAGACACTCTTACCTCAGAACATTCGAACTCACCCCTCAGCCTAAAATCTCTCCTCTAGGTTTCCATACCATATACTCCCTTCTATCTTCTATAACTTGATTCAAATGCCACCTTATCAACACCTTGTTTTCCCCACCACACTCATTTTCAGTTATTTAGTGAATAACTTCCGTATACTGTTTGTCATCTCCGTTCCAAGGACGGAGGATTAACCATAGATATTTGCCTTCTTCATTCACTGATATCCATGGTACCTAGATATCTACCTCTGCTAAGTATTGATAAATGGGTCAAAAATGGTAGTTTTATTTTCCTGAGGCAAACTAAGCACACTTTGAAGTCTTTATAGAAAGGTAGCTAATTTCAGGAGTAAATATCCTTCCACATCTCTTATTTTATGTACATATCTTAATGGATATACTTCAGGTCAAACTTGTTTTTTCAAGCATTTTGCACTTTAATAACACCATATATAAGCATATATAAAAGGTTTAAAAGTGGTGCATGGTATCAAATTCCCTTAAATCAAATACCTAGCACTTTTTAGTTGTGTGATTTTGGTCAAATCATATTATCTCTCTCTCTCTCTTTTCTTTGATTTTCTCAAGTTCAAGAATGAATCAGCCAGGCACTGGTGGCTTATGCCTGTAATCCTAGCTACTTAGAGGGCTGAGATCTGAGGATCAAGGTTCAAACCCAGCTGGGGCAGCAAAGTCCGTGAGACTCTTATCTCCAATTAACCACCAGCAAAACCAGAAGTGGCACTATGGCTCAAGTGGTAGAGTGCTAGCCCTGAGTTGAAGAGCTCAGGGAAAGCACCCAGGCCCAGAGTTCAAGCCCCAAAACCAACCAAAATAATAATTATTATTATTCACTTAATTATTGTGGCAACTAAATAAACATGAAGTGCTTAGTACAGGTCTGGCACCTGGGAAAGTGTTATCTTCTATTACTGTCAAGAGAAGACTCGGGGCCAACTCTGGACGTAGATGAGGTAAAAAGCCTCTCCGTTAACACATAAGAAGTATTAGCTGGAATGCTCGACATTTAACTCCTAAATGAGAGACTGGGCATGTAAGAGAGAAAAGGAGGTCAGAGAGAAAACAGGCTTATGATGACGTGGATGCCAAAGAGAGAATTAAAATCAAATGTAACCACCTGAAAAATGTTTAAAGCTCTAGGGAGTACTTCCTCCCTAGAGTTCTGACTTCCACTGCAGTAATGCAGTGGAAGCAACAACAGTAACCACAAAAGGGTAAGGAATGCTGTGAGTCTAACCATGGATGCTACTAAGCAATTCTGGAGCTCACTGGCTGAGCTACAGCAAAAAACAGACAAGCCAAAGGTTACAAAAGTGGGAAGAAAGGTAGCAGATTTTTATAGAGGCAACTGCAAGGAAATGTGATACAGAAAGATCATCTAAAATGCATTGAAGGACAGACCAGGGCAGGACAGGATACTACTCCCTATCCATGCTCCCAGAACCAAAGCAACAAATGAAATGTCAAGGAAAAACCAAACAGATAATGGAAATAAAACATCATTCATGATTTAGCTATATAAAAACAAGATGTGCTGCTTTGTCATTAGGTCTCAAGTAAAATATGTTAGGATTCAATATGGTCTGGAAAAAAACAAAACAAAAACCAAGGGTATAGGTAGTTTTTCATAACGAACACAGAATCAAAAGGAATTAAAACTTTCATTACAGTGATGACATGACTGAAGTTCTATCAAAATCCAAAAAGATATCAAAATAATTTGAAGTTTGAGAATAAGAAAGTATAGAACAAGTAAGATTTGCTTTATGCATTCATTAGATAGAGCCTGTTCAACAGCACGAAATTTATCAGGGTCAAATCTAAATTTGTCTAGTACTAGACAAATTCTATCCCATTTTGCAGAGAGAACTTGAGTAGACTAGATGACTTACATAAGGCCCATACAAGTTCTATTCTACTATTTTAAGTAACTGTAAATATCAAGTATTAAACTTAAGATTTTAACTATAAAATATTGGTTAACAACAGTTTTACGACATTTAATTTTGTTTCTAAATTCAAAGGAATGAAGATTTGGCAAGAAGCCAAGCTAGGGAAAGCAAATCTATTAAACAGACAGCCTAACTACTATATAATCTAAAAAAAGAATCTAAAATAACTAAACATAGCAAGCTAATTAGTGAGGAGAAGGGAGAATAAGGAACAGTTGTCAGAGAATTTTTTTTTCTTTCTGATAAAATATCAGAGAAAGGGCTAAAGATGTGGCTCAAGTAGTAGGCCCTGAATTTAAGACCAAGCAACTCAAGAAAAAAAAAAAAAAGAGAATCACACCAAAATCACATGCTTTTGGCATCACATACATATTCAAACACATAACATTCGAAAAAAGGCAAACAGAGATAGAGAGATTTTTCAGTTATTGATGAATTCCTAGCATTCAGACACTAGTATGGATATAAACCTGGGAACTGGGCTGGAGAAATATAATAGAGGTATAGATAGATATTCCCTTTTACCTCTGCTTTCCTGTTTCTGAGTAGTTTTTATCCAGTCTTAGGCTCCTATTTTCTATATTACCACCTCAGTCTTGAATCCAGTAACTTACAGTAGGGCTTCCAAGTAAAATCTCAGTTCTCAAACTTGTAAAGATAATGCCATTGTCAACCATTTCTGGCTCACAGAATTTAACTTATCAATCTTCTTGGACTGTAAGAATCCCAATCCTTTTTTGTATATATTTTGTATATATTTCAGGTAGCCCAAGTCCTTGTATATATTTTGTATATATTTCAGGTAGCACAAGTCCTTGATATTTACAAGGAAATAGTATTAACAATTTTGGACTAGTGTGTTAGATACAGTTATCTCATGTCTCTACTTCTAGCTATTCAGAAGGCCTAAGATCCAGGAGCATCAGAGGTAAGGCCAACCAGACAAAAAGTTTCCGGAAGGGCTGGGAAGGTGGCTCAGTGGCAGAGCGCTTGCCTTGCATGCATGAGGTCCTGGGTTCAATTCCTCAGCACCACATAAGCAGGAAAAAAAAAAAGCCGGAAGTGGTGCTGTGGCTCAAGTGGTAGAGTGCTGGCCTTGAGCTGAAGAGCTGAGGGACAACACCCAGGCCCAGGCCCAGAGTTCAGGCCCCACGACCAGAGCCCCCCGCCCCCCCAAAAAAAAGAAAAGTTTCCGGAGACACCCATCTCACCCAATAAAAAAAATGTGGTGGAACACACTTGTCATCCCAGGTATGTGGGGAAGTGTCAATAGGATTGCAGTCCAGGCTAGCCCAGGGCAGAAAAAAAAAGAATGGGGCTTAGGGAGTGTCTCAAGTGGTACAGTACCTGCCTGGCAAGTGCAAGGATCTGAGTTCAAGCCCCAGCACTGCAAGAATAAAAAAGTGTGTGGGGAGGGGGGTTAGGTATGTCCTTATAGCTCCCAATTCAGGAAAATAAAGAAATGAACTTTGGAGATGAATTTGGCTACCTTGAGCAGAATGAGATTTTCCCATGACAATAAGATAAAGACATTATAATTTTTCAAATTTAAAAATAGATTTAAAAAGCTATTTGACTAAGGTGAAGGGCAATACAAGTATATAGGTATCCTGATTATAATTCCTACTACTGATTTTCTTCCTTCCTGATACAGTGCAACTATTTGCAAAGTGAGTACAATAAGTTATCAATAAAATTAAGAACTGTCCACTAAACCTAGTTCATTTTCCACTGAACCCAAGATGCATCCATCTTACTGACATCTACTCTTACCTTCCTTCATGTCCTCAGAACCATAGGCCCCTTGAACAGTACTCTCTCTCAACCAAATAGGCCTCTCTTTGGCAGATTTTCCTTCCAGTGAGGTTCGATGAACGTCTTCTTGGTCGTCCATGTTAATGACAACATTCTGCGTGTATAAGTCCTCATAGGAAGGGCCCTTGCTGGTCCATGCTTCCCGGTGGTGCCCCCCTGCCAGGCCAGCAGCTCCCGCAGTAGTTGCTGCTCGATCCTTGCTGTTTAAAAAGATTAAAGAACAAGAAGAAAAAAAAGTCAAGTCTTAGTGTTGGGAAAAAGGGCGGCTAGTGATTACTGAAGTATTCAGAGTAAATGCTATCTAGCAACCATATAATCATATCTAGAAATCTACAGTTCTGGGGGAAAGCTGCATGGATCAGAGCATTGTGTTTGTTTGTAAGGTCCTCAAATACTACATCATTTGATGTATACAAATGAGTGAAGTTTTACACAGTGAGATATTTCAATAAATCTACTTGGGGGAGGGGAAAAATGACATGGTGACATGATCCACTTAAAAACACCAACCAAGATGTGTTTCCCTTTGAGAGCACATACTCTGCTAGAGTGTGCCCCTGCCTTTCTGCTTGTCTGTTTGCCTACTTGCTTAGTTACTCACTTACTCAATAAAGCTGTCAAGTTTTCTTACTATAAAAATTTTTAAAAGATAAATAAAAACACTAATCTAGCACAAAGAAAAACAAAACATCTACCAATAACATCTTTCGTAAGAAATTTGTTTTTTTCAAAAATGAAGACAAAATAAAGCGTTGTATTAAGAAATACTTAGTTCAACTCAGAATAATTCAAAGTAGAAGTTAGAAAAGTATTTCACACAGCAGGACCTAACTTGAAATTAACATTATCCTGCCACTTGCTACTGAGTAAGGCACATCCAAATCTCTGTACAGATCCAGCCTGTTTTCAACCAAAATTTGATTGACAAATTTTGATTGAAACTTGTTAATCTTATCTGTCCCAACCATTGTTTCTGTTCCACAGGGATTGTGACCTGTTTCTCAGTCTATTTTGTTTTGCTCCCCAAGACCTTCTTTGCTGTTGGCATGTGACTTAGCTTTCTCTAGTCATTTAGTTTCTCCATCTCTAGAATGAACCAAGAGTCTCATCTTTCAGATGTTTTGTTTTCCTGGATTCTTTTAGCTATTAAAAATGCCTTTGGATATACCTGACTCTGCCTGAGCTCATGCCTTATCTTTCTCTGCCTGCAAATGACACATTTCACCGCAACTTCTACACAGAATTCCCCTGCTTTGTGTGTTTTATCCCATAAGCTACTGTTGTGATTCCTAAAGTACCTGATCAACCCATACCTTTTGCTATGTCCTTTTCAGTGTCCACTTGACCTACGTTTCTCCTTCCTTCTCATTTCTGTCAATCTTTCCTGTGGATCCTAGACTACCTCCTGTGTGGAATCTGCCTCACTGTCTCAGCAAATACTTCACTTATCTTGTCACCTCATAAACCACTTATCGTCCTTCATTTTAGTCCCTTATTTTTTCTGCATATACCATTGCTCCTCTTATCTACCTGGACTTTCTACCTCATGTGCAGTAGGTTTCTCTGATGTCTATCTTTGTCCATCTATCTGAATGACCTATTAGGCCACTCCCTCATACACTGTGTTTCTGACCATCCTCTAGAAGTAACCATTCCTCCTGCCCAGGCTCTGTTATCTACAGGACCACTGCTACTTGTGCAATCAAACATCTCTTTCCAGTTGTTCAACCCATGTTGATGCAGTAATCTATGCCTTCAGCTACTGTCTTTGTGTTCTTTCCCTTGTTCTCACTATACAGCTACTTCATAGCCACCCTTTCCCACACTCTTTTCTTCCTGGCACCCAGTCTATCTTTCCATGTCTCAACCACTTCTTTTGCCTGCTTCCTTCTTGTTTGTCTCCTTGCTCCCACTTGCTACCACTTACTTGTTCTCCCACTCTGAGTCTTTCTAAATATAGCCAATCCATCTATTTGTCTTGCTGTATTTTGAGGTCTCCTGCTACAGCTGCATGTAATTGGTTTTCTCTACTTCTGTTTCTGCATTCATCTGATGTTACTTTTTGTACCATGTACTGTTTGTCTTGATTTTAACCATCCCTAGTTGTTCTATTGTCTTTTGGGGTTTTGTTTTCTTCATTTTGATGTATTATTTTACATGATTAGAGGCACTGTGCCGTTGGGCTCCTAAGAGTATCCTTCTTTGGTATCACTGTCTGTTGTCTTTTGAAAGGCTGGGTGGTGGCCTTCACTGTAATCTGACTCTTACTTTTGTGTATACTGGCTTTTTGAAAATTTTGTTCCCCCCCCCCCAACATTTCCTTTTCTTTCTCTTCTCTCCTGATTTTTTTTTGTGCTTACTCTCTACATTCCCACTATCCTCCCTCACCCATTTATTTCCCTCCTTCCTATGTCTCTTCTATCCTCAGCCAGCTTCCTTGTCCTGTAACGCTGAGCCTGCTCCTAGACTTCTCTGTCCCAAATTGTCTCCCTCCAACTTAGTTAACTCTGCTTAGGAAAGACAAGAAAGGCATGGTTCTAAAGCTCTCACCTGGCAAACTACATTATGTCTTATGTCTTTTCTTCATCCAGCCTCCTGAATGACTTACTCACTCAATTCTGACGCTAGTTTCTCTTTATCCATAATCCTAAACATGGTTTTCAATATACTCTCTTTAACGTTAACTGAGGACTATCTCATAAATGGATAAAAAGTACTTGTAATAGAGAAAACAAGAAAATTAGAAAAAATAGGACAACTACAATGAATACTAGTCTTTTTTTGGGGGGCGGAGGGGGCGGTCCAGTCATGGGGCCTGAACTCTGGGCCTGGGCGCTGTCCCTCAGCTCTTCAGCTCAAGGCTAGGGCTCTACCACTTGAGCCACAGCGCCACTTCCAGCTTTTTTCTTTTTGCTTATGTGGTGCTGAGGAATTGAACCCAGGGCCTCAGGCATGCAAGGCAAGCGCTCTACCACTGAGCCACCTTCCCAGCCCAATCTTTTGTTTTCAGTTTTCTGGTATAGAAATTCAAGGTAGATTTTAATTCAGTTTGAGACAATAGACTTTTTTAATTTAAATTTTTATTTTTTTGAATGATGTTCAGGTTTTGAACTCAGGGCTTCAGGCCTCACACTTACTAGGTAAGTAAGCGCTCTACTACTTCAGCTGCTCTTCCAGCCCTTTATGCTTTAGTTATTTTTTTCAAATACTGTTTCCCATTATTCTCCAGGACTGGTCTGGACTTTGATCCTCACATCTATATCTCCATGTAGCTGCAATTACAAATATATTCCAACACACCCAGATATTTTTGCTGAGATAGGGTCCTACTCACTTTTTGCCTGGGGCTGGCCTCAAACTGTAATCCTCCCAATCACTGTCTCCCAAGTAGATGTGATTCAGGGATTACAAGTAAAAACCACCGCTCTCAGCCCCAAACAGCAGATATGTAACCCCATTTGAAATATGTCTTAAACTTTTTTCAAGAACATGTATTTTTTTAAGTTACTTTTTTTTTATTGTGAAAATACTGTCAAGGACATATTTATAACCATAGTTAACTCTACAAATTTTATTTTACCTTTACTACAGACACAAACCGTAAATTACCTGCCAAGGTGATGTGCCACTAAAAAAAAATCTGGATAAGAGACAACTACATTCATTTCTTCTGCATATTTACATTTCTTCTATGGAGAAAATGTGCACATTTTTATCAAATTTGACAAGGATAATCATGGTTGAGTGTTTTTCAAATTGTTTTTTAGAACTTTCAAAAGATAAGACTTATAAGAGCATTGTATCACATCAAAATAGATTATTTGGGAGGAGGTGGGGTACTAGAAATAAACCAAAGGCCTTGTACATGCTAAGCATGTACTCTAACACTGAGAAATAAACCCAGTCTTTCTAAACTACATTTTAAAAGATCTTTAACATAAGTATAAAAGATGATGGAAAAGAGAAGATTAAAGCAAACAAGGAATTCCTTGAGAAAGACAGAAAAACTTTGAAGAATCACCAATGGATTGACCTGTTGAAAGGCTAAAACTGCCCATCAACTTCTGGATTAGGCTTGCTGATTACTGCCCCTGAAGTATCTGACCTAGGACATTAACATTTAACTGATGGCAGTCATTAAATCCCATATTAAAACAAACATTCAAACAAAAAAATGTTGTCTCTGAGCTCTTGGACACTTGATGCTTCCTTTCTTATACTTGGGGGAAGATGGGTTATAATGTCCCTAAGGCAGGAGGAGCTATTATAGAACTTAGAGAGCTCCTACAGAACAGAAAGGCCAAATCAATTCCACTCCAGAGTATTATATCTAGGTAGTGGATATAACAGATGCTTGGTGGGACCATCTGAGTCAAAATAACATCTTCTAATTTAGTTCCAATGGTTATTCCCAACTACTTTGTTATGGCTGGCAGCCCTAGGAACTCCATTCTGTCTTTCTTGTGTGTCTCCATTTCCTGCCACCCTTCTTCCTTGATGATCAGACTATTTCTTGATCAGTTCATTTCCCCCTGCTTTCTGACCTGTCACTTCTAGAGTCACAATCATTCCTGACAAGGTGACTTGATCACAGCATACTACTGCTGGGCTTCTGGTGTTGCTGTACCACTGCAACTAGCCTGAGTCATGAAGTCAGGGTTACTCAAAGATGCTGAAATAGGAGGCAGACTGTGGTAAAAAGCTACTATAGTGGGAAGCATTTTGACAAACAGGATGAATAACTAAAGGTAGAAAAAAAAAAGTCTGGAACTATTGTTACTGTGTAGAAGGCAGTATACACACACACACACACACACACACACACACACACACACACACACACACACACACACACACACACACACACACGTTTTCATAAGAGCAATTTTTCTCATAGGTTTCCTTCTAGGTTAGAGCAGCAGTATAACTTAGGTGGGCTGAAAAAAAAAGTCAAAAAGCAAACTTGATAAAAGTGACAGTAACAAAAACTTAAGGCTACCTATGTTGTAGATGATAGCTCCTGCCAACAGCGGCTCTTATCATTGCTTACTGACTTTATTCAAATACCAGGGACTAGTTGCTCTAAAGAACTCTGAGACCTTCTTTAGTCCAAGAAGGTAAAACTTTTTCTTTGCCAGACGCTGGTTTAAAAGTAAGCATATAATGATAAAGAGTACTTGCTTGCCTAGAAAGTACAAAGCCTGCATTTCAAACCCCAGTAAGGACCCAAATAAATCAGTGGCTGAATGAGTAAATAAATAAAACCATATAAAGCAATTTTAGACACTGAAACACTGGAGACAGACAAAATAAAGGGGGCACTCTGGGAAAGCCTTCTTCAGTCTTAAAATAAAAAGAAGATATAGTCCATTTTTCTGCATTTGGATTATTTAGCTGCAGGTAATAACCTGGAAACACATGAACACATTAAACTAGTTCCCCATACATTCCAAAAAGACAACCAAGAGACTGAGCTCAACAGAGATAAAGATGGAACAAACATAGCTCCTTCAGAATGCTATTAATATATTGAATTATACTGCTTCAGAGTATCTCATCAAAGACAATTTTTTTATTGTTCAATCTACTTCTAGTTGGATTTTCTATTATCATAGACAAAGACATTCTAATTGATACATGGAGTTAATCAGAAAATATAATAACTGATATAGATACAAAGATTTCTATGTGTCTAAATTATTTTTATGAAAGAAATTCAATTTGCACAAGACTCACAATTCTGAAACATTTCCACTACAGGAAATAACATACTAAGAGCTGCTCTAAAAAACTATATACCTAGACTGTCCAGCTCTATAGTAGTAGGTGGCTATAAATTCACAATGGGAAAGAGGAGAGAAAAAAAAGGGTAGAATACAACCACATTTTATGGCATAGCAGAACTAAAACTGCCTCTGTAATTCAAATCAAGTACCCTGATTTGGAAAAAAAAAAAAAAAAAAGGAAGCCAGTGTTAAAACTATAAACCCTCAAGAAACTTGCACTTAAAAAACTAAGGCCAGAAGCTGAGTGAGCACTGGTGGCTCAAGCCTGTAATCCTAAACTACTCAGGAGGCTGAGATGTGAGGACTGTGATTCAAAGCTAGCCTGGGGAAGCAAAGTCTATGAGACTCTTATCTCCAATTAATTAACAGAAAACTGGAAGTGGAGCTATGGCTTAAAGTGGTAGAGCACTAGCCTTGAGCAGAAGAGTTCAGGGACAGGGCCCAGGCCACGAGTTCAAGCCCCACAACTGACAAAAAAAAAAACAAACCTAAGACAAAATGTGTAAATGTTTTGAAGTGGGAAATCAAATGCTGCATGTCAAAAAAAAATGTGGATTGGCCAATAGTTGGCTGAGTTGCTTCAGGCTCAAGCAGAATGAGTAGTAGAAGTTAACCTAACTGAATATTTTGCCAAAGATTCACAATGTTCTCTATTCAGTACAAATACATTTCATCACAAGCACAAGTTACTAAGATAAACAAACACAACAGAGCTCAGATTCTATGTGGCATACTCTTTAGTACGCTAGGAAGTTACTTACCCAATCTTGATTCAAAGTTAAAACAAGGGAAATTATTAAAAAGCTCTTGGTAAGAGCATAGGGCCACCACTTACCTCTGTTTCAGGGCTGGGATTTCTGTGGGTTCTGGCTCAAGTATTTCATAGGCCAAGTTCACATCCTCTGTCTCCCGAAGCAATGCATAAATGGGCTCAATTTGTTCATTAAACCTTGCCAAAAGTGTGCGAGCATCTTTTTTGGGCATTGCTGATTCATCCTCTTCTACCTCTGTATGGCAAAAAGTACAGTGGAAAGTTCCTACAGAAAAAACAAAGTCTCAGGTTAGGGAGGTGAAATCTTCCAGACACACTATTAGCAAAGAGCTAATCTCAACACCCTATTAAAATATTCAAATATATTTAAAAACTTGAAATAATCTCAGAGTGGACATCCATGTTTCCACCATTTAGATTCTGCGATGATCATTTTGCTAACTTTACCATCCATCTACCCATTTCTTCTTAATAGTTCTCTTTTTTATGCATTTCAATTTCAAAAGTTTTTTTCTTTTTTGGGGGGAAGGGGGAGGGGATGCCAGTCCTGGGGCTTGAATTCAGGGCCTAGGCACTCTTCCTGAGATTCTTTTTCTCAAAGCTAGCATTCTACCACTTGAGCCACAGCACCACTTCTGGCATTTTCTGAGTAGTTTACTGGAATAAATCTAACAGACTTTCCTGCCCAGGCTGGCTTTGACCTGTGATCCTCAGTTCTCAGCCTCCTGAGTAGCTAGGATTAGAGGAATGAGCCACCAGTGTCCCGTATCATTCCTACCAGTTTCTAATCCTAATATTTCTAAGATATCTACATTTATTTTAGCCTACAGTTCATAAGTTTTATAGCTTATCATTGTACTTGTATCCCTTGCCAAACAGTTTCCTTTTTATATGCTACCCAATTGGTTTTCTATTACAGGAAGAACCAAATAAATACCTAAAGTTAAGAGATTCCAGTCATCCTGTATGTCACTACAGGGCTCTTTATGCTTACTAACCATTTGTATCTATTAAATATAATCAATTTATTATATATTTTTAATATCTCTAACACTCAACTTAGAACTACAGTAATTCCTTAGAAACCTCTAGATTTTTCACATCCACTGTCATTTCGCTAAGCTAGATCATTATTACAGCCTAAAAGGGCTTCCTAAACACGATCCTTGAGTCTATGTTTTCCTTCTACAATTCCAAGTTTCCTAAACCACCACTTCGTCATCTCCTTTTCCTTTTCTACAGTCTATTTGATAACTGAATTTCTAATGCTCACAGCATGAAATTTGAATTTCTCATCCTAACATTCAAGACCTTGAGGAATTTGACCCTAAGACACCATAATCCAGCCAGAATCCTTTCTTTACATACCAAAGCAAGACAAACATCTGAGATTAGTAACTATTTATATAGTGCTATTTCTAAAACAATCCCATATATACTTTTTGACCCTTATACCAATCTTTTAAAGTGATGTCAGACTGAGGCTCTCAAGAATTTATTCCAAGTCACACAGCTAAAGAATAGAAAAATAACAGCGGTTAACATATCTGAGTGTTTATAAAGTGCCAGGTATTGCCAGCCTTTGAGACTTGTATAGTTGTTCATTCAAGTATGTAAAATATAGAAGATCCAATGAGCTCAGTAATTTGCTCAAGATGATACAACTACTAGCTAAGAGGACAGGATGGAAATCAAATCAGTTCAAACTACTGTGTTGTAGCTTATATTCTTAAATATTACCTAACAGTCTGTATCAGTAGTCACTTGATTTCCAGTTTGGTTTTTTATTCACAATACCAAGACTATGCATCTTCCCTTTCTGATTAAATTTACTTGAGGGATTAAAAGAGATAATATGCATACTTGGTACAGGGCACTTAGTAAGAACTCAGACATTCAACTTTGAAAGACCTCGTGTGTGACTGATACATAATCCATCTTATCCTCTTTTTCTCAGATACAGAATAAACAAACCAGGCATTTCTATTTCAATGTAACACCTGATCCTATTGATATATTCCCGGTGGTTTCTTTACTGATCTCACACCCACCCAATCAATAATAAGCAAATTCTTTATTCATATTCCTTGTCTAAAACATTTTTCTTCCCATCTTCCAGTTGTCTAAAAAATACCTAATTTTCAGGCTGGGAAGGTGGCTCAGTAGTGAGCGCTTGCCTTGCATGCTCGAGGCCCTGGGTTTGATTCCTCAGCACCACATAAGCAAAAAGAAAAAAGCCAGAAGTGGCGCTGCGGCTCAAGTGGTAGAGCACTAGCCTTGAGCTGAAGAGCTGAGGGACAGCGCCCAGGCCCAGAGTTCAGGCCCCACGACCGGACCCAAAAAAAAAAAAACCAAAAAAAAAACCCACCTAATTTTCTACATCTACCACAAACAAGAAGAGGGAAAGAGAAAAAGGAGGGAGAGGGAAAGATGGAGGAAGAGGGAGGGAGAGGGATTTTTTTGGGGGGGGTCGGGAGGGGGGGAACAGAGACAAAGACAGACAGAACACCATGCTCAGGTGGGAGGTGGCCCAGCACTCCTAGGCAGGCATGGCATTTGTCAAACGGAATCTCACAGCTCAGTATCATCAGGTAGGGTTCTCTGTAACCATGATGGAAATGACACAGAACCAAACCACGATACTCATGATGATAGGCAAAAGTAAGTACTCTGTATAAACTACAGAAAAAAAAAAAAAAAAAGATCCCAGCAACCCAAGTAACTGCTGCTTCTTTACCAATTACAACTTTGGCCTTGCCTTACTCATCTCACCTTACAGGTAAGAGACATAAAAATACCCAGTCACAGAATTACTTTTATTTTTTGACAGTGCCTAGTCCGAGATAATTATCCCCTAATCCTCTCAAAAAATACCCAACAAAAGTCTAAGTACTCTAAGTCTGTCTAGTACCACCTCACCAAGAGACTCTATAAATGGATCCTTTTGTTAGAGAGACCATTCACAAATTTAACTTTATTATAGGCATATATAACATGTCTTTGACTAAAGGGTGTAAACATACAGATTCTGGCTGAGTCAACTGGACAAGAATACCATTTATAAAATAAAGAGAAGAATAAGTTCCTTTTTCTTTGTAAGTAGAAGTTACCAAGTTGTTTTATATATCTGAATCCATGTTGTCTCCACTAGCTATGAAAATACTAGAAATTTAGATATAAGAATCCATAAAATATAGCTAGTAACTGAAGGCAACATAGTCCAGAGTATCCAAAGAGATTAAGGAGAGTGAGGAGATAGTCAAGTTATATTTCTAATTAAAGAAAAATAAATCCTTGAGAAACAGAAATGGTACAACCACAGGTATACTAAGAAAGTATTTGAAGGTAATGGTAAGGAATTAATTTTTCAGGGCCAACCAGAACTAAAAAACTAGAATTGATATTTAGTTACAAAGAACAAATAGTAACTTACTAGAGAGATTTTAGAATTATCCTCTACTTGTTCCATGCTGTTTCCTTCTTCAATAGAAACATAAAGAATATAATTCATGTAGGAGTTAAAAACTAACCATATTAAATCAGATCAAACACAAAGGCGCCATGCCTATGTGCCTCTGATCATATAAAATAATATTTATCAAAATGAAGTCCAGGAAATGAAAATAAGAGGGTTTCCTTGGTTTGGGTTTGTTTTTTTTGGTCTTATTTGTTCATTTATCTGTCTTTGGGAGGGGAAGGAGCACAGAAATGGAGAAATATTGGGTAAAAGAAATGCAACAGTACTCATGAGATCCTATATTGAAATGATCTATACAACTTGTTGGTAGGCATGGAAGGAAAAAACTGGGAGAGAGGAAAGAAAGGTATGACATTGTCCAAAAAGGAATGCATTCATTACCTGACTTATGAAATGTAATCCCTCTATATATCACCTTTATAACAACAATTTAAAAAGTATAAAAAGTAAGATTAATTATAGCTCTCTGTTATCTGCTGAATTTTGAAAACATTATCAATATGGGACTTGGTAAGGTCTGTGCGTATGGAGAACTGTCAAGGAGAACTAAACCATACTTAGAAGACAATTATTCAGTTTAGTAGCTTACAAGTTATCTAGTTTAGTAGGTTTATGTTCTTTTTTTAAAAGGACTTCCATTTCTCATGTGTCAAAGTACCTAAGAGATAAACATAAAAGCAAAAGAAGTCAACAGAGCTAAGGGGCAATCCTCTAACCCTCCCATTACAGGTTTACAAAGCATCACAACCAGCTTCCTCGGTGTCTCGGTAGCACAGAGACTTCAGTGCTGTTCTTTCTGCCCAGAATGCTTTCCCTCCAAACGGCTACTCTCCTGATGTGCTTCAGTTCTTTCCTCAAAAGTCACTTCATCACAGCATCCCTACCCAATATTATCTAAAATTTCAACCGTGTCCTATCTACTTCAACAGTCCTATCCCTTCTTTTGCTTTCCTTTTCCTTGACGTTGTCAGTATCTAACTTATTAATTTGACTACATCTAGTTCATTAGTTTCCTTATCTTTAAAAATGTTAATACTGTAGTTGGGCAGCAGTGGCTCCTGTCTGCAGTCCTTGCTATTCAAGGAAGCTGGGATCTGAAGATCACAGCCCAAAGCCAGCCATGGCAGAAAAATCAGATAGTATATTCAATTAACTATCAAACAAGCTGGAAGTGGAGCTTTGTCTCAAGAGGTAGAGTGCTAGCCTTGAGCAAAAAAAAAAAAGCTCAGGAACAGTGCCTAGGCCCTGAGTTCAAGCCCCAAGACTGGCACCAAAAACAAACAAACAAAAGGTTATACTTGAATAAAAACAGTTTTCCCAAATACCCCACTACTATTTTGAAAACAATATGTATTTCAGACTTCAGCTTTCAATAAATGAACATGTTTATCAGCGTAGTAATTCTAATAAAATTTAATGTTTTATTTTTTGTCGGGGGGGGGGGGAGGAAGGACAGACAAAGGGGAAGGCAAAAGGAAGAGAACATATCATTACTTGAGAATCTTGGGATGACAATCCATTAACTCTAACATATTTATATATTCAAGCAAAAAAGAACTATGGCCATAAGGACCCTGAATTCTAGCACAATCCAGATTTACTGAGTGACTTACAGAAGGCTTTCTTTCCTATAACATATCAACTGTATGTACAATTGTCAGCTGGCCGCCTTCTTGTGTCACTGAATACAAACTGGGGTTTGGGGACCTGGCTTAAATAGTGACACTAGCCACTGGTAAGACCAGAAGTAGTACTGAAGCTAGGTCCCAGAGCCCCAATCCCTATAT